ATGAAAAGTTGCGTTTATTCGGTTTATATTAAGTAATTGGCCATTGCTGATTCAATAAATGAGCATTTTCATGTTAAGAATGTTTCGAAAAAACCTAGTGTATCGTCTCCTCATATTCCACCTTCCCTCCCTTTTAATTTAATCGACGCTAGAAAAGTGTACACCAACTCGCGGAAGATGGACAATCATAGGCTTTCTAATACTTTAACAAATCACAATGACTATGGAGAAAAAGGTCTCTACATCTCCCTTCTTTGTTTTATTTTCCTATCTTTTTTCTCAATCAGACACTAATTCTAGGTCACTCCAATCAAGTATCGCTCTCGTTTATCCATCTCGTTTGAGGGGAAAGAGCGGTGACGAAGGCGGTGGTTTTGTTATTCGGACTAGGTGGAAGATCCGGAATGGTCTGATTGGAGTTGTTGCGACGGCCGGACCAAGTCAGTGTGAGCATGTAAGTAGCCTTAACGCGTTGCTTGAGAAGCGTGATGCTAAACAAGCAGCATCACTTTTACTACGCTACTGCTGATGCGCTCAAGCAACTTGAGGATGACAGAAAAACTGTTGTAGCGTGTTTCTTGTCCCTTGTTCTGATGAAGTTTTTCTCCACATATTAATCTAAAATTTTATAATACACAAGTCTCATATGCGTACACATTCGTAGAATTATATAAATATACACAAATCTATGTAAATCATTAGAGCATCCCCAACACAAGGTTCTTGAGGGGTATCTAACTATTAAAAAAATATTTTAAAAAATGATTAAAGGAGGAGAGAGTTGAGAGACTAGTTTGAAAAACTTTCAAAAACTGATGAGAAACTCTTTGTCCATTTTTTTTCGTTTGTGATAGGTTTAAATTTTTGTATTTAATATTACGATTTAATTATATTAAAAATATTAGTATTATATTTTCTGAGAGTACTTTAGAAAGTTTCTCCCAGTTGAAAAGCGCTCTTGAAAACATATGTAGATATAGATGGTAATTTTGTAATACCGCATAAGCTTGCACACTGAGCAAAACCTCTTATCTAATGGCAGGGTGGTTAATTTTATATTTCTACCCTTAGTGGTGGTTTGATTATGGATACAACAATCCAAGATGACGTTGTTGTTTTTTTAATTAACAACCCTGATTTTTGTTGTAGGAAATAATCTATAGAAAATTTGGTAGTATGTATAACAAGAACAACAAATATGTAACAAAAAAAAATTGTAAAAATAAATAATCCCAAAGTGAAATACAAAATCAGAGAACTCTGTCAATTATTCACCGGAGAACGAAAATCGATTCATGTGAGGTTAAATCGGTCACCGGTAAGTACCGGATCTATGTTTCTCTTCTTACGATATGAACGGAAATTTGTGCTCTGTGAATGCTTCAGAGTCTTACGATATTGATATTTTTGTTGATGTTCTTTGGTACAAAATTTGATGTCTACATGGTTAGAATTATCTTCCACTTTTGATTTGGATATTAGACTGATGGGTATTGATGATTTTTAGATAATGGTCTTTGTCGAATCACAAAGACATGGGCTTTTGCTTCTTTTAGGATCTTGGAAGTATGTCATGTATACTATAGGCAACTTCAAAAGAGGAATCATCTCGATGGTGGGAGGAGAACAAGGAGGGGGCAGAAGTATGGGTAGAGTGATTGTTGAGGGAACTTGAAAACCATTGTGGTGTATGTTGTGCATTCTACCATCAATAACCATCTATGTCGAAAGAAATATATATATTGTAATCGGAATTTGTGTTTAAATGTAAAAAAATAAGAGAAAGACAGAGGAAGAGAGATGAGTTTGATTACTTTTATGGTTATTGGTGGCAGCATAAAGGGTTGTCACTTGTCACCTTTGAGCTTTTCAAATCAAGGGGGGAAAAGCTTAGGGTGATGATTAGGTGGGTAGAAGTTTATAAACAAAAGTCCCTAGTAGAATATAAACCAAAGTGTCTTGATTTTTGTTCATAAAACTCAACAATTTCCTTTACAAATATGATGGTTTGATATAGGAGTAAACATACATCATGTGGGCCAATATCGTTTGGTTTATGATCAAGAATTATAGTAGATTAACAAACACTTTACGTTTTCAAAGGAAAATTACGACATAGTTTACCCATATTACAAGAACGTTAAAACAACTTGGATATATAATATCAACTTCTAAACCCAAATGTTTTTTAAAAATGTATGTAAATAATCCCGCGCGTATGCGCATGTATTCACCCAGTACAAAATATATAATCGGACTAAGTACTAGAGTAATGCAACCCTTACCACATTCATATTTATTATTAGTTATAGATATAGAGATAGGAAAACATTAGGAAGAATCACTAAGTTGGGTCTGATTTGATGCTGATAAACTTGTGAAAACAATTTTGATACGTCTGCTAAAGCCTGAAAAAATAAAAAAGAAGGTCAACTATATATGTTGTTGACCAGCTCAAGCTATTTACAATTCTACTGATAAGAGATAGACAAAACTTTTTAGGAATATTCTTTTGGCTTTCAGATAATTCATGGCTTAAGCTTTGAGCAACGGAAACAGATTTTGCAATATCAACAATACTATATCATGATCATTCCCTCAAGATTATGCAACTCCTTGGTCAGAGTTTTTTCATAATTATAACAATCCTTTCAATTTTGAAAACTATAACGTAAAATAGTGACAAGGAAACGATATCGAATACATAATTATAAAAATTATTTGTTTCGCCTACACTAATAATATTGATGTTAAATGATAATTTTGGCATGTTAATCATCTCAAATAGTTGAGACTAAACAAAAATGACAGAAAAAAGAAGATAAGTGTGAGTTTTGTTATAGTATTTATTAAAAAAAGACTTAACATCTATGACCGTATAACTTCCATATAAGCCGTATAAACATCCGTATTATCACTGTATAGCTATATCCATATTTTTTACTGTATAGCGCAAAAATAGTACAGTCCTTCATTGTATAGTGTATATACAATGTATATACGGTCGTATAGACCGTATTTTAGAATAATGTTGATTTCATTTCATTGTCTAAAACCTTATTTATGTTGGGTTGATTCTCGGCGTCCTGAAAGCAAAAAGTCAGTTTATTGATGTGAGA